GGGCCAAAAAGTCACTTTATGATGTCTGTTAGCGATCTGGTCGCTCGAACGAAGGAAGCTTGGCTCGAGCGTGGAAAAGAAGCTCACAAATTCTGAAAAACGCACTCTTTGCTGGAGCAAAGAAAGTCTTGCTTGAGCGAGCATGCTTCCCGCACAGAAACTCAAAATTCAAACAAGCATAACTCTCTCGTTTGGACTCAGTTTTAGGTAGTTCTTGTGTCCAAATCGAAGCCCCAGAAACAACCTTTCCAATGGTTCTGGCCTCACATCCAAATTCAAAGTATGAAAAGAGAAAAGGGCAAAAGAGGGAAGGATGGTCAAAAAACAAAAAATTCAAACTTAGGGTGTTTGATCTAATATTGCCTACATACCTTGTTAAGGCTGCAATCAAGGTTCCAAACATCACCCAAGGGTCCTCAATTATAATATTTAAAGTTCATTTGCCAACCCATCAATAGCAAGAGTCCGACAACCACACAAGTTTTAAGGTGACGATCACCAATTTACACCAATCCGATACGTATTAGAATCCGAGCCACTACAATCTCCCCACCTTAGGAAATTTCATCCTCAAAATTGAAGAAAAAACAAAAAAAAATAATAAGAAAAGAGACCACAACCTATAAAAGAAAACACAACACCAACCCAAGCTTAGACCCTATTTGGGATAAGTTCTCGAATCTTGGTCCAACACGTAGGGCCCCAAGGACTTGCGAATAGCAAAAAGGGCACCAAGGGGAGATCACAAATGCCTCGTCGACCCATATAACTCACTGGGGTCTATGAAACAAGGGACAACAACCTCAACAACAACAACAATATATCAATAACAACAAGGACTTAAAGACGTCAACCACGTCTTAACCACCAACAATACCCAAACCACACCCGAGTGCTCAACACCCGTCTAAGGAGAACGAGAAAATCACTCTCACACAAAACTCTCGGCCAACTCTCACAACAAGAGAGAGCTCAACACTAAACATGGTCAAAAGACAACAAATGCTGCATAACAATTACATAGCACATAATTAGCAACTCCCGCTAGATTACTACACAATTGAACAATACATGATAACACACCTAAGTTAAAGAAAATTCCTTCTTTTCTCCATTTGCCTTAAAACAGTTTCCTTTCTCAAAAGGTGTTCAACTTCGCACTGCCAATAACCAGAATACATTTTTTTTTTTTTTTTTTGATCCTTTATCATGAAACTCCACACTTTCCAAAACCATTTTCGAAAACAACAAGTGTTATTCATAACACAAAACCAATTCTTTTTTTTCTTTTTTTTTGATTTGTTAGATTGAGCTTTTATTAAGTTCAAAACTTACATTTTTTATTTATTTATTTTTTTTTTAAGCCAAAACAATCTCAATTCAATAAAACCATTCAAGGCCACAACACCAAAAGAAATTTGTGGTTTCGTCTTTCCCAAAATCATTCTCAACACTTCCTCAGTGAACCTCAACAATCACCTAACAACACTCATCACACCGACGGTGATGCCATAACACCCACACAATAGTTCCATTATACAATCCCTAGCTATCAGCATGGTGTTAACCACATACAAATTATAAGAAGAAAGAAAACAAAATCACCAATCATAAAATGGAGGAAAAGCACTCACTCCAAAACCAAATTTTCCACTTGTAACGTCCAAACCAGTTACCACAAACTCACACCAACTTCTCACTCGACTATACGAGACTCAACGCTTTACAAGTCCACACTACGACACTGCTCCACCTTAGACACTTATACTCAATGCCAAGCTTGACTATATGTCAACCAACTCGGATATTAACCAACCGACTAACCGCACAACAATCCTATACTTGACACTAAACACCAACATATTGTCTATCTTCACCAACTCCGATATGGAGTTACACACACACTCTCACATTCCCAGTGAATCACTCTGGATCCCTCAAAGTTAAACCACACTAGTCCTATTGTAGACACTCTATTTTTTACTGCCCTTAAGACTTGGGCACTGCTAATTGCTTACTTGATGGTGTAGGCTATGCTATGCAAAGGTTCGATTTCTTCGGCAAGGAGAGCGTCAAATCCAAACCTCACACCCCACTTTTGGACCAAAATGATCTTAGACTTTAAAACCCTCTCTTTCAAAATATTTTTGAAAATGCTTCTACGATGTTCCAAGGCTCACATTTTGTTAAATGTTGTGCTTTTCGGTAAGCTGAGCAAGGACAAAGCGGAAATGAATGAAGGAGAGGTGAACTCTTTGGAAAAAATCTTTAAAACATCTTGTTTAGAGGTTTGGGGTTGAAGAAAATTGGAGGAGAGGGAAGAAACCCAGTTGGAGAAGAAGATGGGCATGAATAGTTGAGAGAGAGTCGAGCAACCCTTCCTAAATCAGGCCTATCCATTTGTACACTTGGATTTCAGCTATGGGGCCACCACTATTGGAAATAGGACTTTCGGGGCTTCATTTTTCACTCAAGAATATCCTAAAGTCGAGGCCAGATGAGGGATATATGGTTGGTTGAAGTTAGGCATCAATCCAGTTAGACCGAAACTGAGTAGTCTTCACTAAAAAGGACATCTCTTAGCACACTTGGAATTTTGATGTGAGGCTGCCACCATTGGAAAGCTTACTTCCGAGGCTACAATTTGCACACAAGAATGACCTGAAAAGGAGTCCAGATGAAGGAGTTATGCCTGGTTGAAGTCGGAGGATAGGGGCTAGTCTTTACTGTCGGCCACTAGGGGAGGGTGCTAGCCACAAATGGAGCTTGCCGGCCATATGCCGGCCAAAAGGGATTCTTGTCAGCCCAAAAAGTACCTGGTCGGCCACTTGAAGTAGCTAATTGACCACTTGAAGTAGCTAACCGGCCACTTGTGTCCCAAACTTAGATATTTTGCAGATATTTCTCCTCCAGCTGTTTTCACACTCCTCCAGTTGTCCTAAATCAGATATTTCAACCAAGGATCTTCTTTTTGCTATATATGGAGGCTATATGTCATATATTGGGAGGTTGGCAATTTTGAGAGCCTCTCTCTCTCTCTCTCTCTCTCTCTCTCTCTATAATTTTGTGAGCAAAATTTCAGCCTCTCTCTCTTGAAGCCTCTATCTCTCCCTATATTGTGCTTAGAAGTGAGAATTTGCTACACTTCTGCAAAGAGACCCTAGACCAAACACCTCTACCTTGTTGCTAAGGTTCTTGGAGGTCCTATTTGAGCTCTCAAAGCTAGTTTTGGTTCAGATTGGCACCTGTTTTGCTGCTGTACTTCAAGGGTAAGCACTTGTCCCTTTAAAGCTTTGTTTTGCATGCTTGTTTTGCCACCTTTGCAAAGTATTTTTGGCTTGGTTTTGAACTGAACAAAACTCTATTTTTCAGTCCTAAAAACGGTGGTTTAAGCCACTTTTGAGTTTGAGGGTGGTCCACCCTTCTTGTGTCTTTTCCTGTTAAGCTTTTGAGCCATCTCTCAAAGCTTTTGAAACAACCTTTTCTTGGCCTTTTAACCACTGAATTCTAGAGGAATTTCAGTGGTGGAAAGATGGTTTTGAGGTCCAAAATTGGAGGGGGTGGTCCCCCCTCCTCTTGTCTTGTTTGCTTTTGCTGCATTATTTTCTTGTCAGAGAGAGTATAAACACTTAGTGTGTTCGTAAGGCAAACAATTTGTAGTGCTGCTATTGTTTGTGGTAGATCATTTCATCCTGGGAGATAGACGTCCGAATTCTGAAAGCACCGTGGAGATGACGAATCTGTCTTAAGGACACAGTGTTAAACACTGGACTTGATCAGAAAAATAATTCGAAGAAATTAAATCAAGTAAGTTATTTAATTACTTTCAGTGTTGTTTTTATTTGTTTATTTATTCAGATTTTAATTTTGTTTTTGTAACAAAATAAAATCTGTTTTGTTTTTTATTTATTTATTTTTATTTCGAGTTTGATTTTTGTAATCAAAACACAACAGAATAAAATCCTTTTAAATACAGTGAAGATTGTCCAACAATATTTTGAAAGGGTTGAGCTCTTCTCCCATTGCTGGTCCCGCTAAAGAGGTGTTGTTGGGAGTGGTAGATCTATTGGTCTACTTTAAATGATTTTAATTGTTCATTTTGTAATGTTTATTAATTTTTTTTTATCTATATTAAAAATTAAATTAATTGGTAACTAGATAATTAGAACACATCTGTTTAATGATTGAATTTGTTTAGAATGAGAATAGCTGAATTTGTTTATATTTTTTCTTATTCTTGCATTTTCCACTAGGTGAAGAGTGCCACCATGCCTTTCTTAGGACTTAATCCCAAAGAGGTCATGGGTTCAATTCCCCTTAAAGGAATTGAATTAAGGGAGTGCAAGCACTTAAATGTTTTGCCAAGGGTGTGGAGATTTTCTCCCATACGTGCTAACAACTAACATTTGCCGATCAAAAAAAAAAAGTACCCCATTTTCACCCAAGGAAGCTGCAATGAATCTGATTTCACAAATTAAATATATTGCCCATTATTTCACATATTAAATGCAAAATTAGATTTAAGGTTGTTTTGATAATTGATTTTTTTAGAGATTTTTTTTAAATTTTTTTTTACAAAAACACATAAAAAAAAATTAGAGAGAAGAATCGTCTTTTTTTGTAAGAGCTTTTTGGCTAAAATTTCGACTTCCCAAAACTAAATTTACATTTGTTTTCTTGTAAAAACAAGATGTTTAAAAACAAGCAAATGATCAACTAGGAAATCATTATTATTACTTTTTTTTTTATTTTTTTTGAACATACTATGGAATCATTACTCAAATGTTAAAAATTTACCCAAAAATAAAAATAAAAACAGGAGAATAGAATAGAATACTAGATTACAACACACAAAGGCAATCAAAACTGTGAAAGTTACTCTATCAAATCAATATGAAAATAAAAAAAAATAAAAAAAATAAAAAACACAATATAGATCAAGTCAAGCCATTCTTGCTACTTTCCTTCTTACTCTTTTTTTATTTTCTCTTTCTTTTTGATCAATTGACACTTGTAAGACTGAAGCATGCGGCGGCATTCTTTAATTCGTTATCAGCGATGTGTTCAATGGGATGCGTTGTATCTTTCAAAGATGAATCCGAGCTGCACATTAATTTAGCTCACTCAAATTAGAAATCAATAAAAATGTAAATAGAAGTTGAACTTGATATCATCTCAAAAATTCATCTGCCATCACAAAAGTTGAGGGCGTTTCGGGTGAGGCTAAAAAAGGTGTCCAAAAGGTTTTTGTGACGGTAAAGTTCAGTCACCACACTTTTTGTGAAGGTATATATGTCTACTTTTTTGTGACGCCAACAAATCATCACCAATAAGATCTTTTTTTTTTTTTTTTTTTTGCAACAGTACAAGTAACTATCACTCAAATTACTACTAGCAACAATATATGGCATTGCAAATAGGCTGCCTTTTTTTTTTTATGACGGTTTTGTTTACAATGGGAATTGCCTTCGCAAATAAAGTTATTTTCCACATGGTTAAATTTTCTGTAGTAAAATTTCATTTTTTGTGACAAAATTAGGTTAGTTGCAATAATTCCATGATTAAAAAATATATTTTTTTAGTAGTAAGAGCCATCCCATAGAAATTAGCGACAACATACAGTTCATTTTGTTCATTATATTAAATGAATGATATTGAACTATCTTCATGTAAAAATTATAAACTGCCACTAAAAAAATGGTATTGCAACTATAAACGTACCTTGACTCGTAAGCCTCTTTGGAATCGATGTATGATGATTGTCTATCATCGATTATTTCAAAAAACGGGTGCATCTCATCATCATCTTGAGCGGGTTCTTGTTGAATAGTCAATTGTTGAAACGCAACCAATTGAGATTGTAGTTCCATTGGATCGTGATTATTGTCGTTGTTGCTATTATTGTCATTAATCCAGAAGGTATTAACTACATTGTCATTGTCAACATAACCCGAGTTATAACCATCATTCTCACTATTTGTGTACAATTGATTCGACGCAATAGGCAATGTGGCGACACCATTGAAAGTTTGAGGAACATCTTGGTTGAATAGGGTTAGGGCATTATTGTTGCTTGGAGGGCCCACCCCTAATTGTAACTCCGAAGTAGAATCATTAAGAGTTGACGAAATCTCGTGATGGTGTTGTTGTTGATAAAGCGCGAGTTGTGCATGAACAGCATGGAGTTCTTCGAGGCCTTGGCATATTTGGTACTCGAGGTGGTGGATTACGCCACAACACCCGTGTACAGGGTACTTGTCACGAATGTTGGATTGGTAGATGATGGAACTCATGGCTTCCCTCTTCTGGCTTGGATCAAGCTGTTTGAGAATTTTAAGGATGTTACTAACGCCGAAGAGGCGGTGCGCGTTCTGGAACATCTTGGGTTGGTCAGGAGGGAAGTAGGGTGCGAGTGGGCATTCAGAGGAGCACTTCCTTCTTTGGTATTTGCACGCAGCACAAGCCTGGCTTGTGCCACCTTTCAGGGTCATGACTTTGTGATCAGATTTTATGCATGATTGTATTTTTTTTTTTTTTATATCAAGAATGAGAAGTGAGAAGCTAAAAAAAGCAAAATGGTGATGAAGAAGATGAGAAAGAAGTGAAGTGAGAGAGAGAGAGAGAGAGAGAGAGAGAGAGAGAGAGTATTATTGTTGGAGAGGTAAATGAAAAAAGGACGTATGGAAGGATTGATCTGAACAGGTCTGATATATATATGCGGATTTGTTGGGAAGTGATGGAAAGAGTAAAAGGATGAGATTGAAGAGATGAGAAATTTTCTAGTAATCCGACCTATATGACACGTAGTGTTTTATATCAATTGTAGAGAGACACATATTACTTTTTCTCTTGTTTTTAAAACAAAGTATACCTATCTTCTCTTATTAAATAGACATAATATATGATAAATTAGACATACTAAATAATTTCTGCTATGAAGAGAGAGATTGAGCCGATTTTGGTGGCGATGTTAGTTTAGAGCCTAGGACAGTTGAGGGACAAATGTTGGAAATTCAAGAGAGTCCTAACTTTAAGGGACGCGTGTGGTCACAACTTAACTTTGTTTAGGCATATATAGGTGTGAAATATTTATATTTAAAATATAAACATATTAAATAAATAATTATGTAAATATAATCATGGCAACGTCATAAATAGCAATATTGGTTGCAATCTAATGAATATCGGGAATATCAAGTGATACATATGTCGATTGAATGTCACAATTGTGAATAATTTAATATTATGTATTGCAAAAAGAGTTTTATAATAATCGAAACGGTTGTATAAACATTATTTTTATTTTTTTTTAGCAGAAAAAGGCTATATATATATATAAATATATTTTTTAATCGGCAAAGAAAATATTTATTGATGAAAGCATGTAAAAAAGAGACAAGACATCAATAAAGAGGAAGCTCCAGTTGGTGAGAAACCAACAAGCAAACAAGAGAAATAGAATTAAAGAGCATCCACAATTAAACTGCACTGCTGAGCAAAACAAAGATTAACAGATCAACTCAAAACAGATCAGTCAGCAGACCAAAACTTCACCCAAACTGCAATGCTGAGCAAAACAAAGACTAACAGACCAAAACAGATCATCCATAGCAGACCAAAACTTCACCCAAATTGCAATGCTGGGCATAACAAAGACTAACAGATCAGCTCGAAACAGATCAGTCTGCAGACACACACCAAACCTGAAAGAAGTCACCAAAACTAGGCAGCCACAGAATTTACTCCATGACCAGAATACCCAGACGAGACAACACTTGACACATCACCCCTGATATAGCTACAACTCAATCTTCAGCAACATCTCCACAACAGAGCAGCAATAGAGCAACCTCTATCTACACCAACAGAGTATAACAACATACACAAGAGCATAACAGCAACAGACATAACACCCGAGCTTAACACACCATAACACCCAGCACACCAATCAGTACTATATAAGTGCAACAGACCCTCCGAAGCACTTCCTGATTTGCCTCAAATTAAGAACAAAATCCTAAACTAAAAAATAAAAGTCACTGAGGACTGGTTTTAACCAAAAAGCAATCCTATACTTAATTAAGTCACAAAGATACACCATATTTGGAAGAGTTGCTCTAAACACACACTCATTCCTACATTTCCAAACTGACCACATCACAGACAATGGAATCACCCTCCAAATTTTTCTTTCTTTCTTCTTTAACTTCCCTCCTACCCACCACAGAAGAATACTCTCCACAGAGCCTGGAATAGCAGCTTGGACATCCAACCATTTTAGCATTTCAACCCCAACCATCCACACAAAGGGACACTTAATACATGGTTCATTGATTCACTGCCACTGCCACAAAAGCAACAAGCTGTGGAAGCATTTGGATTAATCACCCCAAATTTTTGTAAAAATTCCTTGGTCTTAACTCTTCTTTTCCAAGCAAACCAATCAAAAACCTGCACCTTAGGAAGGATGTACTTCAGCCAAATCAGTTTGGTAATACTCATGGTGGCACCTGCATTATCCACATCCAACCTATATAAATATGCTACATTTAGAACCCCAAAAGATGAGGCTAACCATATAGGCCGATCAACACACTCTGCACACACAGCAGGAGCCTCCAGTAGATAATCAAGAAGTCTAACCAGCCTGCTTCTCCCACTCATATAACTCCCCACTAAATGCAAAGGACCAACCACCCACTGTACTTTTCTTATCAGCCAGTATTCTTAAGGATTCCTCTTTGTCCAAAGGCAACCTATACAAAGTCGAAAATTTATCCTTCAAACAAGCAGACTGACACCATATATCAGACCAAAACCTGATCCTCCTCCCATCCTCAACCTTCAACTGAAAATTATTCAAATAAAACTCCTTTAAGCTATCGCACTGTTTAACTACAGAAATAATCCCTTTCCAAACTACCTAGTGGCTACTAGATGAAATTAAAGATGGAATCCAACCATCAACCTCCATCTTATACCTGCTACAAATTACTCTCTTCCATAAAGCATCCTTATCACTACCAAACCTCCACCACCATTTAATTAACAAACACTTGTTCACATCCCTTATTCTCCTGATGCCCGAACCACCTTGATCCACTCTTTTAGACAAGTCCTCCCATTTGATCATATGAATTTTCCTTACTAGTTGAGAACCACCCCATAAGAATGTGGCTTGAATCTTCTCTAACTCTCTAGCTACCCCTTCAGGCATCTTAAACAAAGACAAGTAAAACACTGGCAATGCTGAAGTTACTGTTTTGACAAGTGTTAGCCTCCCTGCAAAAGACAACAGCTTCGTCTTCCAACCCGCCAGCTTGCTTTTGACTTTATCCACAACTAGTTTCCGTGTAGTTTTCTTCCTTGGATTAGCTCCTAATGGCATCCCTAGATACGTGAGAGGTAATGACTTAATTTTACAATTCAAAACTGCAGCAAAACCATCTAACATCTCCTTAGAAACACCCACACCACATAAAACACTCTTATGGAAGTTTATTTTCAGGCCAGACATAATTTCGAAGCACCTTAGCACCCTTTTCAACTTCCTCACCTCATCCACCTCCGCTTCACAGAATAATAATGAGTCATCTGCAAACTGGAGATGAGTTAACAACACACTATCATGGCCTACCTTAACACCTTTAATTAGTTCTAACTCAGAAGCTCGGCTCAATAACAGATGTAGACCTTCAGCTACTAGATTAAATAGAAAATGGGAGAGAGGGTCCCCTTGTCTTAGACCCCTTTGTGGAATGAACTCTTCAGTAGGAGCTCCATTGACAAGCACTAAGACCCTTGCAGTTGTTACACATTCCTTAATCCAATTGATCCACTTATCTCTAAACCCAAAATTAGAAAACATTGAAAACAAAAAACCCCAATTAATGGAATCATATGCCTTTTCAAAATCCAACTGAATAAGTACCCCCTTCTTCTTGGTTTTCTTCTTCCATCCCTCAACAACCTCATTAGCAATTAGCACCCCATCTATAATATTTCTTCCACTCAAGAACGCAGACTGAGACTCACTTATGATATGGGGCATTACAGTTTTCAGCCTATTAGCCAACAATTTTGTTATGATCTTATAGATTGAGCCCACCAAACTTATAGGTCTATAATCAGATAGCCCTTTTGGATTATCCCTCTTAGGAATAAGGGTTATGAAAGAACTATTTATACCCTTCACCAACTTACCATTGTTATGAAATTCTTTCACAAAATTAACCACATCACCCTTCATGACTTTCCAAAACTTCTGATAACACAGCAAATTAAAACCATCAGGACCTGGTGCCTTATTCCCATCACAATCCATCACTGCTGATTTAATTTCTGCTTTTGAAAAATCTGATTCCAACCATTCAAGCCTGACCTTATCTCCTATTGATGGAAAAAAAAAAAAGAAGCCCCAACACAGGTCTTGATGGCTAGTGCTCTGTGTACTGATTTTTAAAGTGTTCAAACACCTTACTCTTCACTTGACACGGATCTTCAAACACCATCTCCCCTTCTATAATAGAATTTATTTCATTTCTAATTGTTCTGCTTTTTGCTACTATATGGAAGTATCTTGTATTTTTATTCCCTTTCATTGCCCAGTTAAGTCTTGACTCTTGCAACCATAACCATTCCACCATCCTACTCAACCTCTACATCTCAGCTCTAACTTCACTTCTCCTAACTTTTTCCACACCATCAAGGTCTTTACCCTCAGCCAAAATATTAAGACTATAAAGTTCACCCTCTGCTGCCTTCAATTTATTTTGTACATTTCCAAAAACCTCCACATTCCAACTTTTGAGACCACATTTCAATATCTTCAATTTTTGAAACAGTATAAACCCAGCCCAACCTTCTACTCTGGACTCTTTTCAGTTTGACTCCCAAAACCTCTGAAAATCTTTATGTAAGAACCAAGCATTTAATACCCTAAAAGGTTTTGGGCTCCAGTCCCTCTCATCCTCCATCAAAAGGAGAGGGCAGCGATCAGAGACCAATCTAGGTAGACCCCACAAGTTAAAATTAAACACCTCAAGCCACTTTGGTTCTACAAGTATTCTATCTATTTTACTCCACTTCTCACCAGCACATGAATTGCACCAAGTGAACCTCCTCCCAAGTAGTGGTAAATTGGATACCTCACACTTATCAATAAACTCATTAAATTCTTTCATACCTCTATCTCTCCTCGAACACCCTTTCCTTTCCCCAATCTGCCTAATCTCATTAAAATCCCCCCCTAAACACCAGGGATTAAGAAATTCCTCCTTCAGCTTCAACAAACAATTCCACAGATTCCCTCTTGATCCCACATCATTAGGTGCATAAATATTTAGAATAGCACAATCAAATTGGTTAAAGAGAGTACCTGATAATAATATAAACCTTCTATTGCTGCAACAATCCTTGACTTGGAATATGTCTGGATCCCAAACACACAATAAACCCCCAGCAGAGCCTACAGCATCCACCACCATATACT